TATTTTTATAGGGCTATAACAGAAACTGGATAAGGGCTGAGATTGTTGGTTCTCTGTATTATGATGGGTTGAGCCAAAGGAGGGTCCACATATCTTATGCATGCCCTTTGGGCCCAACCAGAAAGATAACTAGTTTATACTCTATCCACTCAGTTAGGAGCAGTAAAAACTCCCCTCTCTCCATCTCTGATTTTGCTTTATCAGCAGCTGTGATGGCTATTCTTGGTTGTCATCCTGACTATCTGGAGAACTACAGTTGGGAAACGGAGGGCTCACCTGTGTGAGCTTTCTTTGCCTGGTCTAAAGTGGGTGAGTCTGCTTCTAGTCTGGTCCTTTCAGGTAGGAAGACACAGGCCTTTGATCTGATTCTCCACACAGGAAGACACTTTTAATCTGGGCTGTATCATCTGCTGGCAGTCTATATAAGAACATGAAAGAAGGAAGTTTTTGCGCTTTGCCTGTTTGCCCTCACCTTGATATCAAGTCCACTTTTTCACAGGTGTTAGAGCTTCTTCTTTGGGATTCTGGCATCTACTGAAGACCTGCTGAGATATCCAGCTTTGTGGGCTGAGAGATTTTTGGATTCTTGGACTTTCCTTTCATGGATTAATTGGACTATAGCCTGTAAGTGATTCTAATAAATCTCCTTTCTCTCTCTCTGTCTCTCTCTTCTCTCTCTCTCTCTGTCTCTCTCTCTCTCTCTCTCTCTCTCTATATATATATATATATATATATATATATAAAGATTCTTTCTATATATCCTGCTACTCTAGAGAACACTGACTAATACAGGAGCTGACCTTTAGACTATCTGCTGGCTGTTGGCTGTGGCTGGCCTTGCCTGGCCTGGTCCACTGTGCAGGTGCTTTGCTGATGGCTAATTAATCTAAGCTCGCTTTGTTCTCAAGCTTACATAATCAACTTGTACTTTGAGCATAGCAGAGAGCTAACTGAATCTCAGCCACCAAGACACAGCTGCCCTCCTGTCTATAATCCTAGCAACTGGGAGACAGGAAGAGGAGGACGAGAATTTTCAGGCCAGTCTCAGCTACACAGTCAATTCAAGGTTAGTCTATGTTACACAACATCCGGTCTCTATGAAACCCCAAAACCCTAAAGTAGAAAAACAAAGAGAAGAAGAGGAGTAAGAGGGAGAGAGGGAGGAAACAGGGGAGGAGAAGATCAGGATGATCATTCCTTTCGGGTTTGTCTATGGGGGTGTTTCCAGACAGGATTGGCTTGTGGGCCCACGAGCATAGTGGGGAAGACTTAGTTTGAATGTGAGCGAGTTACCGTCCTTGGCTGGAGGCCAACAGGACAGCGAACACGTGTGTAAACTTCGTCCTGATTCTTTCTCACAAACAAGATGTGTTTTTCCCTCCTGCTGCTGCGATTGTGTGAGTCGATTTTCTAATATATCCATGCGTATGTGTACGTGTGCGCACACACTAATTCTGATTTTCTAAAGAATTCCGATACAGCGAACAGAAATAAGTTTTCTAAGATACAGTTGCTTTAGTGTATCCCTAACTCATCTATCTGTCCATCCGTCTGTCCATCCGTCCGTCCATCCATCTATCTTGATATAATACCGGCTGTCCTGGAACTCACTACGTTGACCAGGCTGGCCTTGAAGTCACATAGATCCACCTGCCTCTACCTCCCAAGTGCTGGCATTCAAGGTGCGCTCCACCATGCCTGGCTATTATCAACTCCTAATTCTTACATTCTTGATCCCCTTGTGTCTTACCTGATTGTAGGCAAAGGAGAGCTGCTTAGCGCCAAGCTGTTTGCCTGCATGCTATTTCCTCTACCTCGTGAGGAGTCGTGAAGGAAGAGCAGGTTGTCTTTGGTGGCACTGGAAAATAGAGTTCAGGCTTTCACTAGCAGCAGAGCATGAGAAAACTAGGAAGGGTTAGCAATCAAAGGGGCACTCAAGTGAGAAATGGACAAGAAGCAAAGCTGACTTTTCTCTGTAGCACACGGGGAATAGGAAACTGTTGAGGTATAGAGAAAAGTAGACAGGCTGGCGCAGTTGCTTCCGCCCAGTGCTGGCAATTTGGCTGGTGCCTGAGCGGGGATGGAAACTGCCTTGTGTACTAGAGGATGTTTAGCACCACAGTCTAGATGGTAACCAAAACTACCTTCCTATGAAACCATCTCAGACAGACACACACACACAACCTCAACCTATCACTTTATTCCTCTGAGACACAAAACTATCCCAGGTTGAGAACCACTGGACTGGTGCGCTTTTTCTCTACTGTGGTATACCAAGTTATGTCCCAAGATTTAGTGGCTTGAACTATAATGAAGTTGGTCCATTCAGTTCATCGCTCTGTGGGTCAGGCATGTGAAGGACTTAACTGAATGGTTTTGGTTTCATATCCCTGAGAGGCTGTGGTCAGGACCCCATTCTCTGAAGTCTTGAAGGATCCACTTCTCTGTGTCACTCAAGTGGCACCTGGTAGGGGGTCTCAGATCCTTTCTAGTCTCAGGCAATATGCTTAGTTTCTTTTGGTGTGGGTCCTTTCTTAGGGCTGCTTAGGTATAGTCTTGCCACTTGGCAGCTGCTAGTGATTTTGGGGAGCAGGGACATGTGACCCAATGCGACCAGAGTAACAACTCAGCTTTGTTACACGTTAGAACCAAGTTGCTCACCAAGTTGTGGGCCCTATCAGGAGAGAATTACGCTCTAGTTTGTGAGGGAAGAAGTGCCCACAAATTTGTGGACGCATTTTTAAAAATTATCATTATTACAATTTATTCACTTTGTATCCCAGCTGTAGCCCCCTTCCTCTCCCCCTCCCAATCTCACCCACCCTCCCTCTTCTCCTCCCATGCACCCTCCCCCAGTCCACTGATAGGGGAGGTCCTCCCCTTCCCTCTGACCCTAGCCAATCAGATCTCATCAGGAATGACTGCATCATCTTCCTCTGTGGCCTGGCATGCTGTTCCTGCCTCAGGGGGAGGTGATCAAAGAGCCAGCCACAGGCAGGGTTCATGTCAGAGACAGTCCCTGTTCCCCTTATTAGGGAAACCACCTAGTGACTGAGCTGCCATGGGCTACATCTGAGCAGGAGTTCTAGGTCCTCTCCTTGCATTTTTTTTTTAAAAGATCACTACTGATAGAGAAAAGTCTTTTAGCAAATAGAATGAAGAGAAAATAATTAGTAGGTAATTCTAAAACAAATGCTAAATGACTGTTTAATGAAATTAAACAAATTATTTTTTTATATTAATTACAATTTATTCACTTTGTATCCCAGCTGTAGTTCCCTTCTTCATCCCCTCCCAATCCCACCTTCCCTCCCTCATCTCCTTAATTATTAAGCAAATAGAAAATATACAAATTCTATGCTGTTAGGAAGAAATGAATGTGCCAATTGAAAACAAAAAGATAAATGTGTCACCCAAATCAATATTTTATTGCATGTAGAAGCAGTGAATAGTTCTGTAAGAAAGCAGACACTGGTAAGTATCTATTTGCTCACATGGGATACCCTGTGATCGCCTGGCACAGTGAAGTGGGGAAGTTGGTGATATGGCAGCAGTCCTTTGGTGAGAAGCCTATGTGTATGGCTGTAGGTACTGAACTTGTAGCAAATCATTTATAGTTTTACTACGTCATGCGTTCATCACGATGCCGATTTTCTAGCTTAAGTACAACCAGGTCAAGGAACTCACAGCTTGTAGTGGCAAGCGGGCTGGTGTCTTAGGCAGCAGAAGGCAATGCTTCCGGCTCACAGCACTTTCAGAGCCCACGAAACCCGTTTAATTCTCATGAAGAGTGAAGGGAAAAGTGGAAGTAACAAATATAATATTTTAAAGTATAATGTCAACCCATTTTCCTGTGGACCAATGCAATCAGAAAATACAGTTTATAGTACTTTTGCTTGATTTTTTTTTTTTTTTTAATTAATGAAAGAAGAGGCCTTGCAGGTAGGTAGTTTGTAAGGTCATGAAAATGAGAATGTGTCTGCAGGGGCTGAGGTGTGTTCTGATTTCAGCAATGTGTCACCTAAGACTACATTCTCTCTGCAAGGCAAGTTGCCAATGTGTTTTAAAAGGGCTAAACTTATTCACACTCTGTGATTACTTTGGTGGATTTAACATGTGACAGTAAACAAGGACATGTGAAGTGATTGATGAAAAGATAACAGTGTTCACTGGAAACTAAGGAAATATTCAGTAATAACAAATACTTGATATTAGGTGTCAACTTAGGGGATAGGAGAACCCTAGGAACTTCTTTTAGGGTCTCGTGGAAAGTCTGAGCATGGAAGAAGTGAGGTGGTGAGACAGAGAAGGCAGAAAGAGAAATCTGTACACGTTCACGAGGAAGGCAGTGAGGACCCTGCGGAGGACGTTTGTTTAAATCTACTGCCTTTGTTTAAAGAAACCTTCCAGCAAAAGGATGCAGGAACTGTAAAGGCAACATGGTTTAAACCCAGAGTCTAGTGGGCATGTTCAGTGATCTCCTAGAACAAATAGAAAGTGCTCCATGAAGCACGTTGTCCTTAAAGCTGAGGAACTAAGGCATTTAACCAGCAGAGTGGCATGATGGTCAGTTGGCAGAATCTAGAATCACCTGGGAGATGGGACTCTGACCTTTGCCTGTGAAGGAATTTCTTGATTATGCTAACTGGGGTGGGAAGAGCAGTCTTAGTTGTGGGCAGGGCCATTCCATGGGCAGAGGATCCTGGACTGCATACAACAAAATCAGGAGCATGACTCTCTCTCTACTTTCTGATTTATGATTTATTGTGAGGAGCTGCTTCAAGCTCCTGCCGCCAGATACGAGCCAGAATAAACCCTATTTCCCTTTTGTCAGTATTCTATGATAGCAAGAGGAATAGAGTGAAGACAAGTAAAACTGTCACGTCCATTTTCGAGTGGCTTTTGTGCATCAGGTGTACACACAGCTAACTTGTATGTTAAGTTGGGGCGACAGCTAACGTACTGCAGTGGCAGAAAGTGCACATTTATTTATTCAACAGGTACTTTCGGAGTCCTACAAATACTCATGGTGTCTTAGTGCTCTTCTCGGTCTACTATTCTTTCAAAAGTTACAGCCACAACGACAGAAGAGTGGATCAGAAAGGTGGTTAAAGAATAACACAACATTTAGAGCATTCGCGTTGAAAGGCGATGTTGCTGAGAAACTGTTACCCAAAGGGGCAGGGAAGTGGACGATGGCACCCGCAACGCAACAGCGCTTCCTTGAAGAGAAGCCAGGACGTCTGAACCTTTCAGACAAGAGAACCAGCGGGCTCCGGGGAGGGGGTAAGTAACGGGTGGGGCCTAGGTGAGGTGTCTGAGCCCTCTGCGCTGGCAGAACTTGGCTCTCTGAAGCAGACCATCGTCAGTCAGCAGCTCTGTCCCTAACCAGTCGACTCACGGGTAAAGGGGTCAGGAGACCCTCCCTTCCAGGGTTACCGCGTGGACTAAGGGCGCGGCCGCCGACGCGAGCACCCGCTCAGTCAGCGCTAGCTTTGTTCCCGGCCAGCGTGGTCGGTGCCCAGAGAAGGGGGCCCTGGGGTCACCAACACAAGTAAAAGTCTTTTCGCGTGTTAACGCTTAGTAATCAAACGTCGGGCGAGTCCAAGGGGTGTTCACTCTCGGCGCGCTTTTACTGTGAAGGGCCGGGTTGGGCAGGAAGCGCCCGGAGGACCCTCCCCGCGGCCGCGCAGGAGGCTCCGCAGCCGCCTGAGGAGACCAGGTAGGGGCTGCTCGCGAGCCTCGGCCGCCTCCCGCGGGGTGCCCCGCCCCCTTCCGGCTCCGGCCACGCCCCCTCCCGCCTATTGGCTGGCGCGGCTCTCTCGAAGACCCGGAGGAGCGGAGCCGCCCTCCGGCGGGCCCGGCGCGCCCTCGCCGCGCATGCTCGAGGGCGGCCGGATGCCCGTTCCGGACGGGCGGCTCGGAGCGGCCCCGGGGGCGGGGAGGCGCGCGTGTGCGCGGCCCCGACGTCGCGAGCACGCCGCGCGCTCCCGAGGAAGGGAGGTGTAGGCCGGGCGGGGGGCGGGGGGAGGGCCGGGCGTCGGCGCGCCGGGCGTGCGGGATCCGAGAGCTGCGGGCGGCCTGGGCGGCCCGGCCGACGCCTGCTGCGAGATGGCGGTCCTGGGCGCGTA